ATCGTTCTCAGAGTCATAGACCTAGACCTTACTTTATGGATTGATTAACCTACTAAACTTACTGATGAGAGTACCTCTAATGACAAGAGGGAGATGGAAAAGTGGGAAAGATCGAACCGCATAAACTTAATGGTCATGAAACATGCTATTCTAAAACCATTTGGAGACACTATGTCTAATGAAGTAAATACGACTAAGGGTTTCTGAAAAGAGGATTGCCAAAAATGAAAAGGCTGAAACAAGCACACATTTGGCAAACCTTGTCTCAATGAGCTATAAAGGAAAATTGATAAAGAAGCTATGGGTACAACATAACGGACCAACTGAAGGTGGTTGTTTCTTCTGTAGAGTTGCAGGCCATAAAAAGAAAATTGCACCAATTACTACACATGGCGTGTAAAGAAAGGTATTCTTCTTCATTTGGTTTGTTCTGAGGTTAATTTAATTTCGATACCTAGACATACATGGTGAATATATTCTGGTACAACAACTCACATCAGTGTGTCTATGCAGGGTTGCCTGAGTTGCTGAAAACCAAGTGATGGTAAAAGATACATCTATGCTAGCGATGGCAAGATGATGAAAGTAGAGGCAATAGGAAAATTTAGATTATTGTTAAAGACTGAATTTTATTTGAATCTTGATGAGACATTTATTGTACCTTCTTTTAGATGGAATTTGATTTCTATTTCTATTTTGGACAAATTTGGTTATTCTTGTTCATTTAAAAACGAAAAATTTAGCTTGTTTCATGATTCAGAATTGGTTGGTTCCGGTTCTTTATCAGGTTATGATAATCTTTATTCAATTGATATAATTACTTCTTTTAATGAATCCTTGCATGTAAGTATTTGAGGTGTAAAGTAAAAATTAACCAGCGAGAATTCTGCCTCATTGTGGCACAAGAGATTAGGTCACATCTTTAAAAGGAGAATTGAGAGACTTATTTCTGAAGGGATTCTCGACCCTCTTGATTTCACAGATTATGATTTGTGTGTCAACTGTATAAAGGGAAAACAAAACAATAAAAGGAGATTTCAAGCCAATAGGACTTCGGACATCTTAGAACTTATACATACGGATATTTGTGAACCATTCCCTATGGGTTCTTGGAATGGTCAACAATATTTTATAACGTTCATAAACGTCTTTTCAAGATATAGCTACATATATCTCACTCATGAAAAATCACAGTCACTGGATGTGTTCAAAAACTATGAAGCTGAAGTTGAGAACCAACTCGGTAAAAGGATTAAAAGCGTCAGATCTGACCATGTGGGTGAATACTATGGCAGGTATGATGGTTTAAATTTCTAGAGGAATGTGGTATCGTCCCACAGTACACTATGTCGGGTTCGCCCACTATGAATGGTGTTACTGAGAGACGAAACAGAACATTTAAGGACATGGTGAGGAGTGTGATTAGTCATTCTATTTTACCAGAATCTCTCTGAGGTGAAGCATTAAAGACCCCAGCGTATATACTCAACAAAGTTCCAACTAAGGCCATTGATAAAACCCTTATGAGTTTTGGACGGGCAAGAAGCCTAGTTTGAAGCATATACATATTTGGAGGTGTTCAGCTGAGGCAAGGCCCTATAAGCCAAATGAAAAGAAACTGGACGCAAAGACCATCAGTTGCTATTTTATCGAATATTCTGAAAGGTCCAGGGGTTACAAGTTTTATGATCCCACAACTAAGGGAATTTTCAAGATAGAAAATGCTCGATTCTATGAAGACTTGAGTTTGCGAGGAGAGAAAGGGTTACATGTTTTGTCTTTGGGGAGAAATACGTTGAAATTTCTCCAATTGCCATTGACAATGATCAGGTTTCTATCCCTGATATTACTCAAGAAGTAACTCCGGATCAAGACAATGACATATCTCCCTACCAAGGTCAACAAATTGTTCTAGAAGAACAAACTCTACAGCCTCAAGAACCAATGCCATTAAGAAGATCCACTAAAGAGTGGAGAAGTGCGATTTCGGATTATTACATTGTATTTCTCCAAAAACATGAAGTTGACATTGGAACGGTGGAAGATGATCCGATCAACTTTCATCAAGCCATGAAAAGTTCTAACTCTCAAAAGTGGCTCGATGCCACGAATGAAGAGATAAAGTCCATGAAGGACAATGACATATGGGATCTCGTTCCATTGCCTGAAAGTGCAAAACCCATTGGTTGCAAATGGATATTTAAGACCAACAGGGACTTGAAGGGTGATGTGGAGAGGTATAAGGTTCGTCTTGTCGCAAAGGGTTTTACACAGAAAAAAGGCATCGATTATATAGAGACTTTCTATTCGGTTTCTTCGAAAGACTTTTTCAGGACTATAATAGCATTGGTAGCGCATTTCGATCTTGAGATACATCAGATAGATGTTAAGACAGCGTTTCTCAATGGTGACATTGATGAAACAATTTATATGGCACAACCAGAAAACTTCGTATCGGATGATGCAAAGCAAATGGTTTGTAAATTAAAAAAATTCATCTAGGGAATCAAACAGGCATCTTGTCAATGGTATTACAAGTTTCATCAAATGATCATCTCATTTAATTTTGAGATGAATATGGTCGATGATTGTATATACCACAAGTTCAGTGAGAGCAAATATATTTTTCTGATTTTATATATCGGTGACATATTGTTTGCCAATGACGATATAGGCTTATTGCACGAAATCAAAAGATTTCTAGCAAAAAATTTTAAGATGAAAGATCTTGGTGATGCCTCTTTTGTATTAGGAATTCAGATACACCGAGATTGTTCTCAAGGTATTCTTGGATTATCACAAAAGAGCTATATCGAAAAGGTACTGAAAAGATATGGCATGCAATATTGTAAACCAGGTGATACCCCTTGTAGCTAAAAGAGACAAGTTCAGTTTAAGTCAATGCCCCAAAATGTCTTTAAAAGATCAAAGAAATGCAGAAGATTCCTTATTCTTCAATTATAAGGATATGATGTATGCTCGGGTTTGTACGCGTCCAGATGTAACGTACATTGTTAGGATGCTAGGAAAATATTTAAGTAACTCGATAATGGATCATTAGAAAGCAGTCAAATGGGTCATATGATATTTACAAAGAACAAAAGACTATATGCTCACATACAGGAGATCGGATCAGTTGGAGATCATCAGTTATTCTGATTCCGATTTCGCGGGATACCAAGATAGTAGGAGATCCACTGCTATGAGGCATCAAACTGTGGAATATGGCTGTGAAAATTTGTCACTGGGCTGCACATTGTGGACAGTATAGAAAGATCGCTCAAGTTATTTTGTGACAATAAATCAGCAGTGTTATATTCCAATAACATCGGGAGTTTGACGAAGTTGAAACATATAGAGATCAAGTTCCTAGCTGTTAAAGAAAGAGTTGAGAGTGGACATGTATCAATAGAGCACATCGGAACAAACTCCATGATTGCGGATCTGCTCACTAAGGAATTGATACCTAAGGTCTTTCATGAGCACACTACTCATATGGGTGTAATGTCTCTTGAGGATATTTAGTTTTCAGTGAGAGTTTGCATTTTTGTGCTAGACACATATACTGTCATTTTGGATATGGTTTAAGGTTAAAGAAATTTTCAGTTATAAAGTTTTGATTTATTATCTCTGAACTTATTTGAAGATGATCTCACTAGGACATTAAGGTAGACCAGTTGGAAATAGGCATGTTACAGATCACATCACATGTAATTTCCATGCTACACATCCATGCTTGATCCATATCATTCAGTTATATTGGTATACGTGACCATTGATGGGTTTAGTTACAATGAAAGTAACGAAAGCCGCTTTGATCCTATGTTGATATGATTGATGGATCGAATTGTTTGGGGATGCATTCAGTAATGATAACAAAATTTTGAGTACTCATAAGGTTATGTTTAATGCACAATTATAAGGTGACACATATAGCCTAAGTGGAAGATTGTAAGGAATTTTAAACAATCGTTTGGGCTTATATGTTCAAATTGTTGTGTATTAAATTAAAGGCTATCGAATTCGGTTGAGCCCATTTAAAGTGATCTAATAAGGATTCGATTTTGGGCCATTATGCATCCAATTAAAGTGTGGCTTTATATATGTGTAGAGACAGGGCCCAAATTCCTACTTCTATGATGGATCGAATTAGGTCAAAGGGCATTAATATATATATAAATGGTTATGGTCCTAAAATCACACGTAGAGAGAGTACGTATTTTTCATTCTCTTTTGCATCTCATCGCAGAGATAAAGGAGACTACGTGTTGATTTGGAAGACTAAGCCATAGATTTGATTTTTTCATTAATCATGTTTGATTCAGGTACGCTTTCGCTATAATTCTTGAATTTCTTGATGATCCAATATGAAAGATCCGGTGATTCTAAAGTAATAAATTATCCTACATAATGTGCATTTTTTCTTTTACTTTTCTCGTCTTATAGTTATATATGTCTAGGTGGTCAACTGTCAGTCTAGATGAAATATCAGGGCAAGTTCACCTGTAAGATGCGAAACACAAGATAAAAAGTACATGACCTTATTCTAGCCCAAAGGACTATATGGCTTCTATTTCGAATGCTTTCTCCACATTAACATTAAGAGCTTGCTTGTTCTTCTGCTCAATCAGCAATTGTAGAACTAGCTAGACACAATGGCCCTGGCACGAGATTTTAGAACAGAACAAAACAACCATAATGTTGCAATTGAAATACACAAAATTGAGTAAAATTTTGATTATGTTTACCTCATCGAGGTGAATGTTATTTAACATGAGATAAATTAATTACCTTCTAAAATTAAAAACCAGATCGAGTTTTATATTGTTGTTAGGAGTCGAGATTTGTAAAGGTTATGCGTACTGTTTCCTTTGTACTAGTTCTATGACATATTTTAGGAAAAGATCTTTGCATAAATACAGATCATTGTGCCCAATAAAATGGAATAATTCAAAAGGTGATTTATGTGACATTATTATTTTAATAACTGAATTTTGCAGATATCAAGCTCCCCGTTTTTGGGAAGGTCTAGTGGATCATTGAGGAAAGGTGCAGTTTTTGGAAGCCGCGACACTTTCACCATGGAAAATGACTCTGATCCTACCGTTCTCGCATCCCTGAGGCTAGTCCAGGGGCTATGCACATAATCTCAAGTCGGCAAAGAAGTTCACCACTAGGTGCATCATCAGGCCCCAAGCTCGCTTCCACTGGCAGGAATAATTCTAACATAAAGAACTATGAGTCCACAATAAAGGGTATTGAGAATTTGAATTTCGATGATGAAGAGAGGGTACATTATTGAATGCCTGCATTATCGCATTCTTGTATATTGTCAGATTGTGTGATAGATGCGATGTACAACTAAGACTGTTGGAGATGCTTTTGTGTAAGATTTGATTTGGAAAATGAAGGAAACGGGAAGTTGGTATTTGTGCTGACGAAGATCTGTAGCCAATAAATAGACAACAGATAGTGAAACCGAACATGCACTGAGCCGTGGTTGCATGGGTCTGATTCCATGTGCCCTTCCATCCCGACCTTTGGTTCTGGTATCTGTTTCCTTCTTGTGTTAGAGTATTACCGGAACTGTAAATTTGCCATTAGAATGCTAGCTTTCGAGTTTCAACAAAATTTATGCAGTTTTCAAGCATTCGAGTAGCTGGATGGGCTTTCGTATGGGTGTAAAATCCTTGTCTCTATATCATGGTTGATGAACTCATTAAATTTTTTCGAAGTTATTTTCAACACTATGTTTTCAGCTTTTATGTGGAAGGAACTTCGACCGACAATTTAATTTTGTTCTTTACTAATTTTTGCATAGACTTGCTGTTAATTGCAAATAATTCACATTCGCTTCTTCGATAGATTGGGCTATGCTATGGTTACGATCTTAAGTTCAGTACTTTTTATACCAAGTGTCTAAAGGAATGAAACCCCCAACTATCTATTGATTCTGCCGCGACTACATAGCTCTGGTCTTCATCTTGTGAAGATGCACTTTGGCAACTGAATATACTTGAACATGATTGCTATTTTGCTTAGATTTTTCTTTATCAATTTCGTTGCTGAAAAGCTACAAAATGAATGTCAAAGGCAAACAGCTAACATAAAAACTCGAGCTTTTAAATAAGTTACTTCAACTTGAAATCAGTGTGGTGAATGTTCATTGTTCAAGTTTCTTTAAGTATAATTTGTACATACGTCAAGTATTTGATTAATTGATGCGCTCATTAGGGGTGGATTATAGACCTTTATACTTGAGCTCTAGAGAGTATGTCAGGGACTTTTTGGATGCATAAATGAAGACTTTTACAGCCATTGACTTCTCGAAGTTGGGTTATAATCACAAATTTATACAATCCCTATTTAAATAGCAAAAGTGACCAAGAGCAAGAGAGATACTTCACTACATATATGATGATGCGGAATATAACACTATGAAAAGTTATTTAGCCCCATTCTTTTGAAAAAATGTATTTTTCTTCAGTATTTTAACCACACATTCTTCTATTGAACGTGTATTGAGCACCAAAGCTTGTCCAGACTCAGTTTCTACCAACTTCTAACACCACAACCCGACAACAACGATCCAAGACAATAGCCAAGCTTCCACTTCCGATTTCCAATGAGAGTTCACTTAGAAAACCACAAAGGTGCAAAATACCTCATATAATATCACCATTAAGGTAGAAGTCACAAAGAGACAGAAAGAGTAGATGAGGAAATCACACAGAGACTAGCCGAATAGAGAGGCAAAGAGGGCGTCTCTCACTTAGAGAGCAAGAGACCCATTTATCTAGTGACAATTGGCCCAAATATGGTAAGTGTAGGTAGGTTAACAAATGGGTTAAAGTAGAGTCCCAATAGATAGGTAAATGGGCCTACAAGAAATCTCTCTCAATTATAGCCATCCAAGGAAACGGATTGGGCCACAAGCAACACTAAAATATTTAGGTTGCTTCGAGTGGTCCAATTAACCTTTGGGTTGTATCGTCTTAATTGTGGTGTTGTTCAATGATTTGGCTAAGCCGACTGAAAAATAAAATCGAATAACATCATAGCCCAAGATTTATTGGGTCTCAAAAACCTAACATCTTCAATAAAACAATATTACATACAAATCCAAATTTTTTTCTTTATTTTTTCATCACATATTTTCCATCAATACACTATTCAAAAATTAATTCTCTCCCACAAAATGGGACTCAAACAAGGGTTTAATTTGTCATTTCTGGACCAACAAGCTTTACATTTATTTTTATTGTATTGTGTTCTAAATTTGGCATGCCATGTGGAGTGATTATTTCCAAAAAAAAAAAAAAAAAAAGGTGAGGGGTGGGTTGAAGACAAAAATTTAATAACATTAAAGACCCATTTAACATAGAACAAATACCGTCAACTTTACACTAATATTTAAGATCATAAAATAAAGTGGACAACTTTGTAAAAAAACTAAAGGGATTGATGAGTTAATTGTTCCAATGGTTACTGAAATTAGGTTCATATCTTTAATTGGTCATTAAAGTTTAAAATGTCGAATTTTTGTCACTGAACTTAAGTCCATATCTTCGATTGCTCACTGAAATTTAAAATGTCGAACTTTGGTCAGTGAACTTTGAAAAATATTGTACATTATTCACTATAAACTCGATATTTTTCAAAGTTCAACATTTATGTTAGTAAGTAACATACAACATTTTTCAAAATTCAATGGCCAAAACTCGACATTTACTATAAACTCGATATTTTTCAAAGTTCAACATTTATGTTAGTAAGTAACATACAACATTTTTCAAAGTTCACTGACCAAAGTTCGACATTTTAAACTTCAGTAAGCAATCGAAGACGTGGACCTAAGTTAAATGATCAAAACTCGACATTTTAAATTTCAGTGATCAATCAAAGATATGAGCCTAAATTCAGTAACTATTGGAACAATTAATTCGAGATTGATAGTACTAAATACAAGCAGAAATTATCGCAAATTCAAGACTATCCATAGATTAATTGTGTACACCTCTCCTTAATCCACCTAAGACACTTTTTAATAGATCTTGTTATGCCTCTTGGCTTCAGCTCCAGATCATCATTAACATGGTAGCCAACTTAAGTCCATAGGGCTCATTCTGTCAACTTCCACTAACCAAGGAGACACCTCGTCCTGCACAAAGCTCCGCGAGACACCTATGGCCAAAGTCCTTTCGAAGCTTTGGGGCGAAGCATCACATCCATCATCCTTGAAGTGACTCAGGATTTCCTCTAAACAAATTTTAATGATTGATTGAGTTGACGAAAATCAAGTTAACAGCCCACATTTCAGAGCATTAAATGCTCTTTAGTCTATGATTAATGGAATGACACTTAAGAGAAGGCATATTCCATTCTTACCTTTAGATGAGGTCATGTGTATTCTCATCCCACGGCCATTACTCCTCCTCCACCCCTATATAAACCCACTTACATAGACATTTAAAGGGTAATGTAACTTATACACAAAACATACATCTATACTATTAACATATTGTTCTTAGTATCACCGATGACTGACTAGATCGTCGAATTGCTTGTAGTCGACTCCCCACCACGAGAGAAGGTCACAAGTGACTAAAGATTTGTTATAAAAGCACCATTTACGTGGAGCTATTATATGTTGGCCACGATATCCCAACAAAAAACGAGGTCAACAGATCCCTTCACTTTCCCTTCAACAGTAAACATCTTTTAGGCAGCCACCCTTTTCCTCCTCTGCAACTCCAGGTCACTAGAACTCCACTTCTTTGAAACCTACCCTTTTTCAACTTCCCTTTCTTGAACTCCCATTGATCTTTAGCAACAAAATTATTATTCATTCGGGGCTTTGTTTGGATCAGACGGTGATGATGCATATCAGCATATGAAGCAATCTGTAGCACCTGAAATCTTGGATGTGTGAGTTGGGTTTGTGACTCTTCATTTGCATTCATCAACCATTGCATGATTTTGATCTGGCATGTTCCTTTTTTTCTTCTTGGGAATTTAGTTCGAGACTTTCTTTGTTATGAGCACATGGTTTGGTCTATATTTTCATCTTTGCTCATGCAAGATAGTTAGATCAATCTTGAAATTCGCCGAATGTTATTTTTTTTTTTAATAGAATCAAATTGTTCATTAAAATTTAATGATCACGTTAAGTCTTGAAGTTTCTATCTTAAAAGATCAAAACTGTCAAGATAATTAATTCAAACGCTTAATCTAAACTTTTATCTTTAATTGATGTGTGATTTATCCTTTAACATCGTGATGGTGGGAGACGGTGCTTCCCATGAATATTGTAGCAATATTATTCATAAATTGCACTTGTTGGGAGCATAAGTGGTATCGGAGCTTTTGCGCCCAACACTAAAGTCCACCTAGTTTGTTCTCGTATATTTCGGTCACTATAACTTCTTTCTTAGCAAATTAAATCCCTAATTCTTGAATTGCTTTTCAGTCCTAATCTTCTATATATAGATTTTTCGACACTTAATTTCGGTCCCTATCCTCAAACCCTCGTAACCCCTAACAATCCTCTCTCTAAAACTTAGCCTACACCATCACCAGCCATCGGGAGGTCTCTTTCTACCAGCCGCACTTCTCTTCTATAACGACGAACAAATTTGGTGGGAGGTTTGTTTCTTGGTTACTGTTTGTTTCTTGGTTACTGTCTTTAGAAATTTACTTTTTTTTTATGTGTAGTTCTTGACTCTTAAGTAAGAAATGAAATATATATCTTCATGAAAATTTAATCCAGATATTTAGGATTCAGTTGTTTATTTTTCTATTATGTTTTCCGTTTGAATTAGTAATTTGCACAATGTATAATGGATTAAACAGATGGTGAATTTTTTGAGCGGCGGTTTTACTTTAGAATACTGTCTTAAATAATTGATTTGTTGTTTTTAATGTAATGTTTGTTGACAAAATTGGTCCAAATTGACCCCTCAGAATCCATTATGTTGAGAATAATACAATTAAACAGTAACAGGGCCATCTTAGGAAATTCTCTAAAATTATTTTTGACAACTCTGTTTGCTTCCTATGAAAATTGAGGAATGAACCAATAAAAGAATGTACTTTCCGTACATCAAATTTTTTTAATTTTCTTGAATATGGTTGAGCCATTTATGATATTTGTATTCTAACAGATTTTCTGGCAATTTCGGTTAGTTTGATTCTGCAGCATGCTTTTATCTGATACAGATTTTCTGGCCAGTTCTGTTCCTTTGATTCTGCTGCATGCTTTTATCTGAAATGGTTTTATATCTATCTATTCCCTTCGTATGACAAAAGAAATTACATTCTCCAAATTGAATTTGTTGATAATGATCTTTTCTGCTTATTTGCTTTTTTTTTTCGTTCAATCACATATGCAGTTTGACATGAATATTGCGTCCTGTTACAAATTCCAGACAGACCTCTGGAGAATTAATTAAAGTTGAGGAACTGTGGAATATATTGTGCTTTACTTGGATGACTAGCATAAAAGTGTTGAGCACTGCTTAAATACTTACTGGAAGATTTGTTCTGGAAGATCTGTTCTAATACTTACTGCTTAAATACTTCTTGAACAAAGTGATCAGTTAGCCGAATACGTTATATATGCTGTTCTAAGTTGTTTTTCAACTGAGGGGATATAGATGGATTACAAAGCTATTCTCCATAAACCAATGATTGAGGTTCCTAATTTGCACGGCTCGAACTCGATTTCCTACCAAACAGATCGTGGTTCTGGCACTAATTATTCTACGAAATCTCATCTAAATTGGGTGGGAGCTTATGGTTCAGGAGCAGGTGCTTCTTCGTTAAGGTGTAGAGGGCAGCAAACAGGGGTTTGTCTTGATAGAATCAGCGTGAGTAATCAAAATGAGTGGGAATTGGATGGAAGCAGGATGAATGTCGAGAAGAAATTCAATGGACAAATGCAAATCAATTTGAGCAGATTCACTAATTCTTCAAGATTGTCTACAGATGGACCATTTGTTGAAAATGATGAGAAAACTAATAATGAAATCCTTCAAACTTTTTGCATTCGCGGGAAGTTACTAGATGCAGCAAAGTTAGTAGATTTGATGACTCGTAGAAACCAAATTCCAGATTTTTCTTGCTGCATAAAGTTGATCAGGGGCCTTGTCAATATTGAGCGGACCAGAAAAGCTGTTAATGTCCTCCAACTCATGGTTTTGTCTGGTGGGATTCCAGATATTATCACATATAACATGTTAATTAGTGGCCTATGTCGGAAGAAGTATCTTAATTCGGCTACTGATGTCTTGGAGAACATGAGTTTGAGTGGTTGCCCTCCAGATGTTATTACTTACAACACAATACTACGAGCTTTGTTTGATAATGGTAGGTTTGATCAGGCTATTCAGTTTTGGAAGGATCAACTAAGAAAGGGATGTCCTCCTTATGTAATCACCTACACGGTTCTCATTGAGTTAGTCTGCAAACATATTGGAATTGTACGAGCATTAGAAATCATGGAAGATCTGGCGGTGGAGGGATGTTATCCTGACCTTGTGACCTACAATTCAATGATCAATATTTCTTCTAAACAGGGAAACTATGATGACACAATGCTGGTTATTTGTAATCTTCTGTCTCGTGGAATGGAGCCAAATACTATTACATACAACACTCTTCTCCATTCTCTTTGTACCTATGGGCGTTGGGATGAAGTGGATGAGATCCTTTTTTTCATGAATGAAACATCACACCCTCCTACTCGCGTAACTTATAATATTTTGATTAATGGTTTATGTAAACATGGTCATCTGGATCGTGCAATTGACTTCTTTAATCAGATGATTTCCCACAATTGCTCTCCTGATATAATTACTTATAACACCCTCCTACGTGCTCTTTGTAAGGAAGCAATGCTAGACGAGGCTGTCCAAGTTCTTCACTGCTTATGTGATACAAACTGCTCTCCTAGTTTAATCACTTACAATATTGTCATTGACGGATTGTCAAAGGAGGGTTTTATGGAGAAAGCAATGGAAGTGTACAATAACATGGTAGAGCACGGGATTTGTCCTGATGAGGTTACCTATCGATGTTTGATTTGGGGTTTCTGCCGAGCCGATCTAGTTGAAGAGGCTGTAGAATTATTAAAGGTGATCGGTATTAACAAAAACAGGATAAGAGATAATTGTTATAGATTCATTATTAAGAGATTGTGCCAGAATAAAAAAATGGATTCCGCAATTCGAGTCCTAGAAATTTTGATAGCAAGTAGACACAAGTCTTGTGTCACAGTTTATTCAGAAATAATTCATGAGATTGACAATGCTGGTATGCCTGAAGAAGCTGCAGAATTACGACAGAAATTGGTGGAACTTCGGATTTTCAGAGAGTAGCCCTGTTGGATCACATGTACTTGGCTCTGAATCTTCTGCGCTTTACATCTTCAGTCAGTTCACATCAGTGTGGGCAGAAATTATTTTCTTTGAAAGAAAGGTTTTCTCTTGTTCTTTTTTATCCATGCTCTCTCGTGAAATATTTGGTGTTTGGATAGCATGCTGGCCTATGCCCAATTGCCCATGATCCAATTCTTCTGACACCTTAGAATATTACTGTTTTGGTACATAACCGTGGACATTATGATGTGAATGCTTGGATAATAAATTACCTTGGTTTTACTTTGGATAGATGGAAAGCGATGTGGTTTTAATACTTAATATGAACATATCAATTCAGACTAATGTTTCTAGCATAATTGTTGTATTGTCTATTTTATTCATTCAAAGTAATGATTTCTACGCACTGATTTGCATTAATCTTTGTGCAAACAAATGCTAAAAGGTGTGTGTTCTGTGAATGGAGTTTGTGTAAAAATTTGTCCTGTTTTATGAGAGGAACTGTCTATGCTGGATGGAGTCGTCGATGTAATATTTTGTGCTTCTTTCTTTCTTTTGTTTTGTTAACGTCCTAGAAGAAGATCATGCTCTCCACATTTACATCTCATTTTTTTTCCCAGCAAATATATTTCTTTCATCGTAACAATTAATTGTGTATGAAAGTTTAAATGAAATGGGGTAAAACAGAAGTGAGTCTTTATACGCTAGTCGAGGAGCTTATTAAACTTGACTAAAATGACTCAGAATGTTCTAATATTTTTCTTACTGATTTTTATTTTTGGTTTCCTGATGGGGGCAGAACTGTAATACGTGGTAGTGAACTATGCTGTAAAAAATGAATGAAATATGCAGCCAAAGCTAGACTCAAGAGGCAATGGGACAAGCACCAACAAATAGTTTGGGATGTTTATGGATTTCCAAGCAGCATGCTACGAGAGATCGACCTGGTTTTTTCTTCATACATAGGCTGTTATTTTGCAGAAATATAGGCTGCTATTAAAATATCAACCAATCTTTGGAGGCATCACTTGGCAATTGTTAAGGAAGTTTGGATCGGCTATTCCACAAATTGTTTCTTTTTCTCTGTTATTTTAGGCGTTCATGAACTTGTGCTTAAATCCATGTACGAGAGTAGATACAATGTTGCTTTATATATTGCTTAGAATGTAAAGTGAGCTTAAACATTGTTGGCCATGATTAGTATTAAATAATATTAATTTAAAATTTGGATATGTCTTGGTGTGTATAAAATATGTACATAGGGATGTCCACGCACTCCACATAGGGTGGGGCCCAAGCACAACCCTTAAAATTGTGTTAATTCTACCGATCAGTTCTGTCCAATTGCGTAAATAGATTGCCATTAATATATTTAGAGAGAGAGGAGTCAATAGAGAGATACAGATGGATTGGATTGGACCAATTGGAATCGGATCACATATCAATTGGCTAGGAAGATTTAGAGAAGATTAATGTTATTCAGCATTGCTAAGCACTAGCCTGGATGCAATTGTATGAATTTAAATTATAAATTCATTTAAATGTAATATCACACGATTCATTTAGTATCTGTTTGGTAAGGATTAAAATCAATACTTCAATGAATTTTGTTAAAAGTTGATGAAATATGTAATTAAAAATTGTAAGTTCTATAAAACACGTGGTTAAAATTAATCATTGATCTTTACTTTTGATTTTAATTTATAACAAATAGAAGCTTAGTTGAACATATCAAGTGTGCACACGTACATGGATGCTATATAACACATTATTCTTCGAGAATGAGAAGTAAAGGAATCATCAAGCTCTGGTAATTGCTACACACCCCTTTCATTGTTCTGATTTATCTCTTGACCATCTCTGGTGGTGTTTCCGTCTTGCAGTAGTGGACATGGACAAGTTCGGTTCAATTCAGTTCTTTTTTCTATCGGGATTTTATAAATTAAAAAACAGGTTAGTTTTGACTTTCTTAAGTGCAGCACGACCAGTATGACATAAATCATTAGCTTGCATAGAAGCAAAGAATGACAGAAAGCAGGGTAAATAATAAATACCACAAGAAAGTATCATGGATGATGAATGAAAAAAAAAAAAAGACAAATCGATGTACAAGCAGTAAAGGTACTGCTGTATAAATTATGGTAAGAGTCGAGCCGAAATTACTTGCAAAGAAAAACTACTCAGCAGCTAAGGAAACGTAATTAACTGCAAAACTGTCTTAGAGCTATGTAAAAAGCTCCTCGCAGAAAGGTGCCTCCAACTATCGGAAGATCAGAAGCTATAAATCTATTTCTTCCGATAACCACAAGCAGATCAAGTTGGTAAAGGAAAAATGAAAATAGCCATCGTGGAAAGCTAAACTTTGGCCATGCAACATTGACTTCAGACATCCCTGTTTCTGCTTGTCCCCCTTAGCCTTGTAGGAGTAATGCAGCGGGATCAAGTTCAAAAGACCCTTCTGGGACTCCTTTTCTTTCGCTGCCAGTCATTTTGAAAAAGGGAATTTGGTGGGAGAACCTAAGCAGTTCACTGGGTCGTATTAAAAATGAATCAATCTCACTCTGGCTTGTTCGCTGAAATAGGCTCAGAAATCCTTCAACTTTATCTAAGCAAGCAACTTTTATTCCGGCACCAAAAACAAAATCTGACATAACCTCCACAATTTCATAGTTGAAATGCTTATGATTCTCAGGGTTTGAACTCCATTTTATATCCCAGTCCTTGAAAAGAGCCCAGATGTCTCCTTTTCTAGGATATATGACAATAGAACCTCTGCTCCTACCCTTTTCAAAATGCACTTTATGAGAGAACGTACAAAGTTCTGAAGCTTCTTCAGTCTTCCCACGCTTAAATTTGCCACAGCCAACAGGCAACTCCACATTTGCCCAAGTAATTGCTTCTTTACCCTCAGAATTAGCTTCTAACCAGTGGATGCTCAATTTGAATCCAGGAGTAATTATCTTTTTTATCTGAGCATAGTATCTAGGCATACAATCTAATGTATCGTAACAAGCCCAGATTTGACCAGCAGAAAAACATTTTTCTTCTCTAATCTTATCAAAATCATGGAATTCTGGATCAGGACACTCGTAAACTTTCTTATCTTCAATACTAGAATCTGAATCTGATTCAGAATCAGAATCATCTAAGACATGAATAGGTTCAACACCTGTGCCCTGCATACCAGCTGGTTGTCCTTTAACCTTAACTTCTTCACTCTCCGCATTCTTGTCCGAGAAGCTTCCTTCAGGAGGAATAGTTCCCATTTTTTTTACTTTTGTCTGGACATTATCTTCATCAGTAGTAAAACTAGCTGGATTTCCATGTTTTGAAACTTCACCATCCACAGTATTTTCCTCCTTTTTACCATCACCTGATAATATGTCCCCACGCCATCTCTTGGGAGGGCTAGCAAAGTCATCATCGCCACTTATACTGCACAAGACATTCTGCCTAGGCTGACCCACTCTCCTTAGACGACGGAAGCCATTAAGACCAGGATCTATCCTGGTCCCCTGGGTGTCAAAATTTTCCTCAATAACCACATCTTCCGAGTCAGAGTTACTTGTGTCAGAACTCTCACTAGATTCCATTACCACCTTCCTGCCTCTCTTCCTGTTTTTGTTTTTCAAATTTTTTGATTTTCTAGGCATTGAATCTCCATTGGGCATCGCACCCCCTGGCTTTCCAACATTCAAAGATTGGGCAGTTCTGCTATCTTTTTCTTTTGCCTTCAAATCCTCACCAATCTCAGCTGCAATTTCTGCCCGAGGACCTGATTCTGACCCAATTTTTCTACTGGTGGCACCTCCAAGAGATCCTGCATGAGAATCTGAGGATCCAGTGGTATTTTCTGCACCCATTTTGAAGGCACGCAAATCTGGGACCTCTTTTCGTTCAGAAAGAGAAGGTTGACTCTGGCTGGATTTTGACGACGCATTTTGAACACCTGGTTGAGCCCATTTGGATCCCAAGTGAATTCCTTGAGCACCTATGTCATAAGCAATGAAGGCTTTTGAGCAGCTATTATTGTGACATCGTAAAGCTTTGTTCACATATTCTCTCGGATACTGAAATCTTCCACTACAAAATGGGCAACAAGTCCAGAAAACTGCCTGTCTAGCTACTGAATTTGGCGGCTTCATCTGATATTTATTCTGACCACGAGCAGCAAAACCATTTGAATTATTGTTTTGACAATGCGATGTATTTGCTGGAGCTGTTCTAACTGAAACTCTAACCTTACTGTCATATGCAGACTTCTTTGCAGAGTCGGACAGTACCATATTTGCTTCCCCAATCAGCTTAAAAGCAGCTTCTGCACCATGAAATTTGTTCTTATCGGGATGGAGAAGAAGTGCAAGTCTTCTGTACTGTTTCTTGATGGTGGCATCATCAGCTAACCTTTCAACTTGAAGGATTCCATACCAGTCCTTTTCAGATCCCAATATCCTGTTTTGTGCAGAACAGTGAACATTACAGACAGTCAGTAGCTGAGCTATATTCTCAAGTTCAGGGAAAAGATTTTGAGCTTTCAGAGCAATCTTTCGAGCCCCTTCAAAGTCATTATTTTCCATCTTCTTCTCAGCAATTTGCTTTGCTCGGAAAGCTTCATCCTTGTTGCACTCCATTGCCAATATAGCCAACTGCTCAAAGTCCTGAAGCTCAAGAATTGAATAAACAAAAGTGAAATTTTTCCTGGTACTCAAACCAAATAACTCTGTTCTTTCCTCCAGAGCCCACCAAGTATCCAAATAATTAGAATCTGCAACCACATTAAAACATATTTTCTATAGGAGTTACTTTCGAGTTTAAACGGTCACAATTTCTCATTTTTCAAAAAGAAAAGTCAGCATGAAACGGTATTTTAGCAATAAAGAGAAGGCAAGAGCAAAACTCTTTGGGCAAAATTATTAGCAAAAGAAATTCCTGTGGAATAAATTAGTTGTTACCACATTGAAGCCTCTAAAGATGTTGTATCGACATCTTACGCCAAAAGGCATACTGCACTTGGGTTTCAAAATGGAGGCTTCAGGGCTGTCTGAATAAATGATATGATCCAGGACCTAACATCTGAATCTTAAAACAACAGGCCCGCAATATAGAACAAAAAAGGCCATCAACATAAAACAGTCCATATGACACCAGAAAGCCAAGCAATTCACTCATTCTGTATCAGAGTCTCGAACTTCTACAAATCCAGGTTCATACTCATGAGATGTATAATTTAAAAATCATTTCTCACCAACAGGCTTCAACAAAAGTTTTACCTGAACTTCTCGCTTGCAATTTAAAACTACTTCATTAATGCATTAAGGGTGAATTTGAAGGAAGCATGTCTCGAGCTGTTGGAAAATGTCATATAAAAACGCGAATCGTCACTTCGTATTCATGCCCATCTTCAAAACATATCTCAATTTGGAATAAATCATTGTTGCAATTCTTTCAGATGATTTCATTTCTTCAAAATGCATTGCATTAATTTCATCATAGACTGTTGGAAAAGTAGTAATACATTGAACTTTTAACTGGCATGTGCAGTTAAACAGTAACCAAAAGAAAACTAGGAAGAGAGAGATCGTAGAAGGAGCCAGAACAAAGCCTCAGCTTCCAAATTGAGATCATTTCCCCTATGTGATGTCGAGTGTGTGTCCAAGAAAAAGAGAAATCAGATCCCTAAATGGGTGGGTTTTCACAACATCTGCTACATGCTGGCTTACCTTCATTACACCAAATTTTGTTTTCTGCCCTGACTTCATTACGCTCTTCATTAATACACAACTCTATATCCTATGATTACGATGCAGAACAATGGGATGTGCATATACAAATCTTTTAAACCTGCACTCAAGTTTTTTACAAGTCAACTATATCATTTTAATTTGTTTGGCCATGTAATTTGCAGTCCAAAAGATAGAATCAATGGGACTATTCAATTCGCTAAAAATAAGAACATGGCCTCATTGTCGATTCTTTTTCAATTACTTCATTCATAAAGCACATAATCTCATCATCAATTTTTAGAGTAAATTATCATCAATCCACTTTTTCTCCAAATAGTCTAGGTAAATAACAGCTGCATTTTATCACATGTACACACCAAAACTTATTAAGAATCACATAGATTATTCCATTTTCGCAGAAGTACTAATCAAAATTTATTAAGATTTACAGAGTCAAACATGGATGTATGCTTTCCGGACACCCTCATTTCTAAATATAAAGTATGTGCGTAAAGTTATATTTCAGTCTCAAAGTAAAAGGGTGAAGGAAAAATGTATAACTATGTCGACATGCGGCATAAATGAATCCAAAAAAAGAAAGCAACCACATTTAGACTCCATCAAATTACTAAACCGTACATTAAACAACAACTTTTTCTTGCAGCTTGCCGTGAATTTTTATTTTTTTTTATATTTTTATTTTTTTTTAATTTTTATTTACGACCATGGGTGTCTGGGTCAGCTTACGCGCACCTCAACTAATTCCACGGGACCCTGAAGTTTACAATCGGGTATTCACCTCAATATCTCTGACAGGACTCGAACTGATGATCGTTGGGGAGTAAACCTAAAACCTGACCACTAAGCTACCCCTCAGGGTTACAACTTATCGTGAATATAAAAAATACATCTCCAAACTTATCATGTTAAAGCACATTACAGCACTAACCTACCACTCAATTCTTTATGTTCCTTCACCTATAACAACTTTGAATCATGAAAATTTCGAGCTTCTGCTTTCCCCCACACAAATCCTGAAAGAGGACAAAAATGTAAAAGACAGTGAAAATAATTTTCAAAACATGAAAAGCAAACGCGAATAGATACCTTCAAAATCCAAGAATCCTAAAATGTATGGAAAATAGTACATTTACCAAATCGAAGTGATATATCATCAAATATTTACATTAAAAACGACAAACGTATAAAAACCTAAAAATGAACAAACGAAGCAGTCAATACCTTCAAAACCCTATAATTATACATGCTCAGCAAATAGCACAAATACCAAATTAGAGTGATATATCAACAAATACAAACAGTAAAAACCTCAAGCACACAAAACCCTAAAATGAAACGAACCCACCGACCCATAATTCAATTTCCAAAAACTAATGTGACGAATCAAATAATTAGAAACAAAAAATTGGAAGTGTACGAACCAAACATGTAGGCAGAATAGCCAAACAGTGTACACAAATTACTTACCTTGTGGCGCTTACGCAGGGAGAGAGAGTGGGTGACTAGTTACAGAAGGTGTTTGGGACAAATTTTTTGAGGCAGGGAGAGGGAAGAATGGGGCGGGAGAGGAGAAATGGAATGAATTTTGCGGAGGAAGAACCCCAAATTCCTTCAATTTCCCACAAAACTATCTCGAAATTTTCCCTCGCGGGCAGAGGGGATGTGGGGGTAGTTGGGGGCTGAAGCAACCTGGGTATTTTAAGAATCTAGAGTTTGTGCAGCACATACATGATTTCAATAATAAATACATAAATACTATTAGAGGAAATAAGTGAAAATGATCATTTGAGTCATCCTTATTTTTACTTTGACTTTTGACTGATTTAAGAAAAAAAATCAAAACACAATTTAAAGACATTTTTCCAAAATTACCCCTCTATCTTCATCTCTCCCTCTCTCTCAACGGTTTGGAAGGAAAAGTCAGATTCACTGACAGTCGACCATCCAGACATCTCCCTCACCAAAGAACTTTCGGTTGCCGACTATTAAGAGTTGTAAAGGTTAGTTTTTTTGTGAAATTATAATTAGATTATTGGATTTTGATAAGTTTTAGTTAAATTATTGGTTGGAATATGATTTTTGTGGTATGAAATGTATGATTTAGGCTAAATTTGCGTATAGATAAAGTGTAGTGGCCAATTTTTGTGGTTTGGGATGCTCCAACTCGTTGGAAATGGTGGAATCCGACGAGTGGAGTTGGTTTCGATTGCAGTTAGTAGGCCGACTATCAACCGTCGACTGTTAACAGACGGTCACAGTCGGTTTATTTTTTATTTTTGTAATATTAAATTCTCTAAATTAATTTAAATCATTAAATATTTTGAATTGTTAATCACATATTTTTTTTCTTTATTAAATTTAAAGGAATTTGTTATTATTCTAAAAATATTTTTTTAATTGTAATTTTAACTCTTTATTTGAAATTAAATTTTAATTTTTCATTTTAATTTTAATTTAAATTTAAAGAAATTTGTCAATTTAGAATTTATTTTCAAATTAATTATTTAAACCGAATTTTGACTTCTTAATTTTAATTAAATTTTAAATTTTTATTTTATTTTAAATTTAAATTTTCATTTTAGTTATAATTATAATTTAAAGAAATTTGTTATTTTAAAATTAAATTTCAAATTACTTTTTTAATTCTAATTTCAAATTTTTATGTTAAATTTAATTGTAATTGTAATTTTATTTTAAATTTACAGTCTTTTAATTATAATTTTAATGTAAAGAAATTTGATATTTTAAAATTAATTTCAAAATTAATTTTTAATTCTAATTTTAAATTTTTATTTTTAATTTAATTTTAGATTTTTATTTAATTTTAAATTTAAATTTTCATTTTAGTTATAAATTTAATTGTAATGGTAATTTTATTTTAAATTTAAATTTTCATTTTATATAATTTTAATTTGAAGAAATTTGTTATTTTAAAATCAACTTTCAAATTACTTTTTTAATTCTATTTTTTAATTCTAATTTTAACTTTTTATTTTAAATTTAATTGTAATTGTAATTTTAATTTCCATTTTATTTTGTTATTTTGTTATTTTAATTTTAATTTTTGTGGTAATTATTAATTTCGATAATACGATTAAAAATTTGGTTCACTTAATTTTGGATTATTATGCTTCATTCCATTATTTCATGTACAATGTTTTAATATTCTGTTTTAATTTTTGTAGAATGGATTATGATCTGGATGCAGAGTTGAGACAGATGTCAGGCAAAGTTACTGGAACAGTAACTTTGACAGCTTTACCTAGGTCCTAGAGCTGCTGGATGACCAGCATGCAGATATGCTGCGTCAGTCCTTTCTGTGGCCTCTATACCCTATGAGAGAGTTGCAGTATTAGATGATCGATGCTCTTTTATGTCGGTTGCTGAGTCCAGTTGACGACGATGCCCTCCACTACGACCTCGAGGGCAGAGTCGCTAGCTTTTCCATGTTCGAGTTTGCCCTGCTGACTGGAATGAAGATTACAGGTGATGAGGCAGCTAGCGACGGGACTCGGAGAATAAATAAGTTGCAGGACACTTACTTCCAAGGACAGGGGGTGGTGGTTTTGCTTCAGCTGATGGACGCGATCAGGAGGTGTGGCGAGATATTGGACAGATTGAAGTTAGGTCTGGTCTACATCATTGAGAGCATGATGCAGTGTCACCGTAAGAAGACTGCGATCGACCTCTTCCACTTCGAGATCGTCGACGACATAGATCGCTTCAACAGCTATCCGTGGGGCCGCCGATGTTTCGAGAACACCGTCCACGACTGAAGTACGGATGTTTCGATGTTTCGAGAACACCGTCCAAGGGGCTCATGTATAAGTACAACGCGTACGGATTCCCCTTGGCGCTGTAGGTAAATAATTAACGCAATCAATGTGAAAATATTTTTTCTATTGAATTTGTATGTACTAATTTATGTGTTGCAGGTTTGGGCGTATGAAATCATCCCCATATTTGGTACCCGCTTTGCGTAGTGAGAGGAGACACGCTGCCCTCGGATGCACCATTGGCGAGCATCTCGAGCAAAGCGATGTCCCACAGGTAAACAATTATCGGCTCTCCTTGATGAACCTCATGTGAGTATTATAAATTTATGATTTATATTGTATATAGTTTGACATTACATGATTTTTATCTTTTTAAAATGTCAATATGTCATGCGTGAAGTAGCGGTTCCGTACGCTCAAGACAACTAGATGTCTGATTCGATCCCCGATCGAGGCTGGATAAGTGAATTATTGATTAATATTTTGTATGAGTTAGCAATTATTGAATAAGTTAATAATTTGCAAGTTTGTGCAGAATCGTGAGCCAGTTGATGGGGTATCACCTCCACCGACGACATCACCTTCGCTCAGGGCATCAACTCCGCCATCGGCATCACTTCCTCTCCCTCGGGGTGATTATTCTGATGATCTGTACCATCGCCTGACTGGATTTATGGTGCACGAGGTCGACGCGCTGCATTGAGAGCTGACAGGAGTTATATCAGGGAGTTTGGTGCGCTACGTCGAGAGCTGGGAGGAGTTATATCAGGGGAGGTTGGCGCGCTACGTCGAGAGCTAATAGGAGTTATATCATAGGAAGTTGGTGCGCTGTGTCGAGATATGGTGGAACGGGTCGACAATCTGGGACGTCAGTTGCTAAGGAGGGTCGAGGATATAGCTGATGATGTTAGAGTGTTGCGTAAGCATTTAGGGGACCTTCATGATGAGGTGACAACACTTCGAGGTGATATGGCAGGCAGACGATGGGTTGATGGAGGTGAAGACGGGGGTGATCGATAGGATAGATGTTTTTGTGTTCGCTAAGTTTATTATATACGTGTACAACCCTGATCATTCATGTCTGACACGGGGTTAGCCCGAACAAAATCTGGAGTCCATTGCTATTTTGTCCCTATGATGGCTAGACAGGCGGAATTGACTGTAAAAGACAGATTAGTCATCGTGCGGGATACGACCACAGCAAGGCAGACAATATCGTAAGTGATTCTAAATTTTCTTAAATTTAATACTTAATTTTTTTTACTGCACGGTACTGATCGAGCTCATTTTTGTTCATTTGCAGGGGCAATTGTGCCATTTTTGCAATAAAGTACAATGAATTTCTGAGTATAGCACATAAAGTTGATGGAATCAACCAATCCTGGATACAGAGTTGGCAGAATAAGTTGGTTTATTCTATTTTAATGGTGATCCATAGATTTATTGTAATTATTAGTTGTAATTTTTTGTAATTACGAAATAATTGTAAACACTGTAAATATTGATTTGTTGTATTTATGAAATGATTATTAACTAGGACGACAATTAATTTGTTAATTCAAATGGACAACATTACCTACGCGATCGAAAGAATTCTCTGGTAGATGATATTCTAGACGTACTTGAACGTCCAGGACCACGCAGTTCGATGAGAGGTGGCAACAATATATTGAGTGGGCGAATATGGTTGGGGACTTCCCACTTAGCTTCATTAGGCAGAGGAAATATTGTCTCGACTTACGCAGTTCTCTAATAATCAGTCGTGTAATAATGAGAGGACAATGTTCTAGCTGCAAATCCTCGATACATAGCAACCGCGACTGTATGCTCACACAAAAAAGTTTCCAACTGAATTTTTTTACAACTGCATGTGTTATCAGTCAAATACACTATGTATGCCGTATTACGTGCACATTCCACTGAGAAGCGTGACTCGTCTAGTGGTTCGACATTCAACTGTCTCGCAAGTTCTGCAGTTTTGAATAGTCTTTCCTCTTACGCCCGGGCTAGCACGTTTGTGCAATTCTGTGATTCAGCACGTTGATCGTGAAACCACTGCTATAGCTTGGTACGGATATTCTCAATCAGTGCAAGAATGGGTAACTCTCGATTCTTCTTGAATAATGTATTGAAAGACTCCGCGTTGTTTGACATAATCATGTTGTATCGACGTCCTGGAAAAAATGAGTGCGCCCAAGGTTCAATCCTCATTTTCGTTAGATAATCTCATACATCGAATGATTTACTTCATATTTCAACCATGAATTTATTACACTCTTCAACACTATAGGCTTCAGCCGCTCTTCTGAACAATGAAACGATATCTTTGTCTCAATACCTAGTCTTCAAATTGTCTTAAATATGGTACATGCAATACCCATGATGTGCATCTGGAAAAATTTCAGCGATACCATTTATTAAAGGTTGTCCCCGATCTGTTACAAATGCAAGGTTCTCGACTTCTCCGATTGCTTCCCTTAACTTTGTGAAGAATCATCGCATCTACAGGTCATTCTCACTATCGACTATGCCAAACGCAAGAGGGTAAATTTGGATGTTGGCATCTTGACGTGTAACAATAATCAACTTACCTTGATATTTAGATTTCAGTGTTGTACCATCAACTAGAATTAGGGGTCACATTGCATTTCGAAATCCCCGAATGTATTGTCAAAGAGCCATGAAGAAGAATTTGAAATAATTCTCACCCTCCGTCTCTATAACAAATTCCGAGTCAGGATTAGTTTTCTCCATGTTATGGCAATACCTGGCCAATTTAGTATAGCTTTCCTCTGCAGAGCCCATTAAATCCTCAAACGCACATTCCTTGGCCTTCCAGACCTTCTGGTAGCTCAAGACTACTCCGTACTCTTGACAGACGTCGTTAATGATGTCCGATAATCTGTAGATCGTATGAGGATCCTGATACTTGTGCA